CGGGGGCGGCCCCCCGCCGGCGGCCGAACCCCGGGGCCTGCTGCGGCTCTTGGGTGATGGGAGTGGCCGTCGTCAAGCCCCGCTCACAGGCACACCTCAGCACGGCCTGGGCATCTCCCCACGGGTCAAACCCCTCGCGCCCAGCTCCAAGCGGCAGTCAGTCTGGCTGGAATGTATGGTTTGGAAATACATCGTTTTCCTCGGGGCACAGCAGACCTTCAGAGCCGGTGTGGGAGCTCCCGGTGCGGTGTTTTGCACCCTTTGGCTGAAGGCAACCAGCCAGGCCGGCTGTGTTCCTCACAGAGAGCGTTCTGGATCCAAACCTTCACCCCAATGCGTGCTGGGGTTCCAGACAAAATCACAACCGAGTATAGCAGCGATTTTTCCATCAGTGAACACTAAAACCACGCTTCCGCCGGCTGCAGAACTGCTACTAGTTCGCAGGTACAACCACACTGATTTCACACAGGCCAACGGGATCATTTTCTCTCCCAGCGGTGTAGTGTGTGGAGTGGACACTATGGTGGCACTGCACAGTAATCCACAAAACCCCCTTCTGCACTTCTTCCAGCTGTGAAGATTTCCACTTTGTCTTTTTCTGCACGTGCTTAACGATGTTTAGCAGGCGATTTTCCACTGCACACTGAAAACTCACAGTCTTTTCGATCCCTCTAAGGAAATGTCTTTGTAAATATTCAGTAGATGCACACTGTGATGTCCCTGAAGCTCTCGGAGGGCAGCCGATCGCACACGTCTCCTTAAGACGGCACAGGGTGAGCGCGAACGGAGCTCAACTGCCTGAGAACCAGGTGAAATGCAAAGAAATAAAGTTCAAAGCTCTGTTCTGCTTGTGAAGGGGGAGTACTCTGCAGTGCTGGTCTCAGAACATGGAGCAGATTCGAAAGGGAGCAGGGCGTGCTGCTGCTGGTGCTGTCACTGAAGGGTGACTTCAAGGGCGCTTTCCCTGAGGGCCGATCGCATTCGACACATGGAACCGCCACCCCGCCGCAGGGCCCGCACAGAAATCTGCTGCTGCAGCCGCTATCTCAGTCCGCCTCAGGTGGGGACATCGCTTCACCGCTTCACAATCCTCAGCCTTAACAGCATCTGCTGCTGACCAGGTATTTCCTATCTGTGAGCTATAGAGGCAAAATAATTCTGCCTGGTCCGCACCGACGCACCTTAGCTTGCTCCAGGGATGGAGCTGGCTCAGCCACCAATCTGCTGACTCGTTACCAGACAGAATGATTCTGAGCATTTTATCGCAGCAGTATAGCCTTGAGGAAGATCCGCGGGTGATTTGGAAGTAGAAGAAAGGCTGAGATCTGATCTGGCAAAGCTCGCGGGTATCGAGTGTTCGTGAAAATTAACGCTGACGATTTCTCAGGTTAGTCAACGAGATTGTGTGTTACGTTATGCAGCTTCTGAACGTGAAAATGCAACCCAGATAAAACCCAAGCCACTAAGTGTAATTGTGAAATGCAATGATTCTGCTTTGTCCTTGAAAACATATTTGTGAAAGAAAGCAAAGAATAAAAAGACAGCCTTTTTCTTGCTACTTTGCTCCTCCTGTGCCCGTGTGAATATTACGGGGCAAATTGCCTGCTGTCAGTTACAGAACAAAGGAAAAATTGCATTTCATTTTTTTTTAAATAGCTTCCATTTCCAGTAAGCAAATTTAAAGCAAAAGGGACTGTGCTCACTGTCTTTCATAATCTTCTATTTCTATCAGTACTTCAAGAAAGTCGGGGCAGACACAGAAGAACCCTGGTCATAGTTCACCTTCATTGCTTCTATCAGTTTGGCATTCAGAAATTTTCTGAGCTGAAATTTCCATCTAGATCTTAATGTTTAATAGTAGTCAGTAAGCCCACTCTTCATTAATTTGTCCAGACCCCTTCTCAAAACTGGTACTGTCGATTTCTTACTTTGTCTAGCAAGATCTACAACTTAGCAATACATTATTTAAAAAAAATATTTCAGATGGATTGTTTTCAGTTTGCCGCCTGTTCATTTCCTTGGGTGTCTCCTATGCCTGGTTTTACAGAAAATAACAAATAATTGTTCCCCATTGACTCTCTGCTAAACATCCGTGACTATAACGATGCCTCCCGTATCATCCTCCCCCATCTTTTATTCAGGCCAAAATATTTCGTCCCACTGAAGCGCTGCTCTGCGGTGTGTCCCAATCCGCATCACCTGTGCCACATCCCGGTGCACAGCATGGGAAGCCTCGAGCGAGCACTGCTGCTCTGGGAAGGGATGGGGCTGCAGGGGAAGGGAGGGAGGGCGGGAGGGAGGGAGCCGGCTGCCCCGGGGAGCTCTGGGCAGCAGGGACTGGGTGGCCGAGCCCACCCGGCGTACCTCAGCTGCGGGGTAGAGACAGCGTCCGACATCCTTTCCTGCACCTCTTGGTCTCCAATGTCCTCCCTGAAGCTGGGTGGCCAGCGTGCCAGCTGCGGGCGTGCCGTGCATCTGGGCAGCATCAGCCTAAAGGGGTTTTCTTTCTGGCCGCTTCCCCAATAACTCCTGACATCCGATTTGTCATTTTGGTTACCACTGAGGTACCAAACGGATGCTCTCAGGGAACTACTCAGAAATGGCTTGCAGCATCGCTCCCCGGAGCGCTAACTGCTTCGCTCAGAACCCATTGCTCTAGGCGTACAGCCGAGGTTATTTTTCCCCCACATATGTTACTGCGTTCTTACTGACTCTGCCAATTTATTGCCTGTTTGGTATAGTGGGAGCCTCAAAAATACACAGCTGTAGCTCTTCCCAGTTGGCTTTTAGATTTGACTTTTAATAACAATGCAGCAAACACTGATACCTCACTGCTCATCTCCCTTCTCAGAGTACTTATAAATACATGGAATTGTCAGAAGTTTACCGATATACAGTCCTCAGGATCACACCGATCCCTTTGTAAGAATTGGCACCAAAATCCTTTCTCACTGAGAACAATTTAATTAAATACGCCACATTTAGGCCTGAACTATAGCAGACATTGCCTACAAAATGTGTAGATCTAGATTTTAAATACTCCAGTACGCAAAGACAGATTTTAAGATTGTTGTTTCTGATCCACCTGTAAGACAATAATAATAAATGTTTGCCTGTCAGCCAATACTTCCAACTACTCCAAAATATAAATAAACAGGTAGACAGAAACAAAAACCACAGACAATGTAAATCACAGACATTGCAAATCGAGACTGGATGCTGTCTTAAAAGGAAAAGCACTTGCAAAGTAGGAAAACAGCAAATTGGGGAAAATTATGCCTTCTGTTTTTGGCAGCATTGGACAAAATATCCACGATGGCTGACTGGGCTTTGTGAATCTAAATATTCATCAGCCTTACTTTTTCTTGTCTACGCCTTGTTTTGTAAGCAACTTTTATCCATTTACTGTAACCAGTGTCCCGTTTTAGGAACAGGTGGCAGAGAAACAGCAATCCAGTAGATTATACTCGCTTTGAAACGATTCCAAATGCCTAGCAGTAGGTTCTCCTAAGCACTGGAGGCCCTTCTCTCCAGCTTCACTTATACCAAAGTCCCCTACTCCATGTGCTTGTAGTAAAAAATCCCCATTTATTCTACTCTTTCGTTATTAGGCCATTTAGAAAGAAATCGAAACACAACACCTAGAGGTGGCACTCTTTAAATCAAAAGAACTTTAAATCAAGAGTTTTCTTAACAATTTCTCTCAATTTGTACTGATGTAAAAAGAATGGATGTTGGCCAGCTCACTGGTTCTTTTCTCATGTTTTCATGATAACATGGTGAAAGGAATATTCTGGAAATGCTTTTAAGTGGCATGCACATTATAGCAGCTGATTAGTTGGGGGTGCGCCAGCGTGCAGCCTGCGTTAGGTCGGCCGGAGTCTCAGGATGCACACACCCCCTCTGTGAGAGCCGCAGTCAAGCACCACATCCCACGCACCCAGTCCCACCGCACCCTTCTATCTGCACTCTGCAATATGGATTTGAAGATGAAATCAACCTCCTTGAACAAACTTTCTTTCACTGGAATGGCCCAGGGCTGTTTCCTTTCTTCTATGCCCTTTTTATTTCCTATCGTATTGCACCACGGCTGCCTGAACAGACAACATGTTCGCAGCTCGGATCCAAGGGCTGCGTACCATTCAGACGCTATCTGTTCACAAGTGCACGTCACTTTACGAAGACTAGTCAGCTACAGGGTTCGTGCCCTCATCTTGAAGAGTTGGTTTGCACATCAAAAAACGTTTGATAAGCCAGTGATGTGCAGGATTAAGGCTGGCTCTAGAAGCGCGCTGCTGCTAAGCCAAGCCTCTGCCATCTTGGCACGGCAGCCAGCACTCGCTCTTACATTAGTGTGGTGTGGTGGACTTTCACAGCACGTTCCTGTTCTGCCAGCTATGAGGTACACCAGCTCTGCTCAGCAGATCGCAGCACCCAAAGGTCCCGCTCACACTACAGGGCACTCGCAAGACTGCAAATGGTTATTGCTCCTGCGGGGGTGTTACTATTCTGCTGCCAGCAATGTGCAGCGTTCACAAAGGGGCTGCTTTCTCCAAGGTGGGTTTTTTTTTTTCTGGTTGTTGTTCCTGGCCTTTCCAGCTGTGTGCCTTCATTTCTGCTGCACGTGGTTTCCTTTATTTGCCTCTTTCCAGATTATTTTAATCTCTCAAGGAAGAAGGAAATTGAGCTCTGGCAGCAGTAACAGCCATTCCTGACCAAACGTGCCAAGGTATTCTGATTTCTTCCTCTGCAGGCGACACCGTTTTTCATTTAATACTAGGTGGTTGTCCTAACAATTCTTTAAAACTGTGTCCAAAAGGTGCCATTCTCTTATTCAGTGTGGCTTTACCTGGGAGTGGCTACAGGTGCCTCTGTCCTTTTGCTAGGCCCACTCAGTGCAAAACATCCTCTCCCCCATACAGCGCAGGAAGGGCTGGGAAAAACCTTCCTCCCTCCACACTGCAGCTGCACCTGCCCTGGTCTTGTCATTCTGTTGGGGAAATAAATCCTCGCTTTGCATGCTGTGCCCCAAGTGCTCGCCTTTACCCGCTCCCTGAAGCAGCCGTTTACTTGGATGAGCCAGGGTACATCCACTGAGCTCCAAGGGACCGTGTCAGCACGTGCTGGCGAAGAGCCTGCTCTCTGCACTCACCACGTCCAGCAAACGATTCCCCAGCAGCAGCCCATAAAGTGTGTTTATTTTAAATAAGCGTGGCTGTTTTGTCAATCCGGGATAGAGACGATCTCTGTCCAGAAAACAGAAGCTGCACAGAGTCAAAGCGAGTCCCTGAACGCTGCCAGGATAACACGCCCCAGCTACAGGGACCATCACTAGGGCTGACGGGGAAATTTTCTCAGTGCAGCCTTTGCGGTTGAAATCTGTTTCCATCAGGAAGTCTTCCAGGCATTCATCTCCCTCTCTTTGCTCTCTGCCCAGCAGTTCACGAGTGGTGTGATATAAGCTGTAACAGTAACCTTCAGTC